CCGCCACTGGCTGTATATTTTGAAATAAAATCTATTTACTTACTGGTTCAACATTAAAAGCAAAAAGTGCATATTCCCGGTCAGGTGACACTTCATATCGGATAGCCTTTAAGGAGACCTAGAAAATAAAACAGACATTGAAATAAATATTTTTCAGTTTTCAAGCCAATAACATCTACAGCTAATTGTTATGACCATGTTTCTAATGATGAAGAATACTGCCAGACTAAGTATCTTGAAAAATAACACATCACACCTCTTTTCAAAAACCAGAGATGTTATGTGGGCACATATATGCTCCCATAAGAGAAAGCATAACTGCATTGTGACTCAGACCAGGCAGCTATCTCAAAAAATCAGAATTTTCCTTACAAACCTACTGCACAGTGGCTGGGGGGGGCGGCGGATAATGTCAATTTATTAACTCCCTCTCATTCCCTGCAGTCACTGGCCAAAGTGCTGGAGATAACAAACAGTAAATACCTGCTGGAGCAAATTATTATAAGGAGACACCATTACCTGTCTCAATTAAGACACCACCGAGGAAAACTATCCCATTTTCCCCAGTTAAGAAAGTCTTTGGGATGCTGTGGTGATACAGTTTTCCAGGTGCAACCTGACCTGGGTTCTGCAAAAAGCTGCACTGTAAGTCTTACTAACAAGAAGAGATGCCAAAATATCTCAGGCTTGTCAGGAATTACCTTTTCCCTGCTCCACTTATCATTTGTGTAGTGCAGACATCCCTTCTCCTTTCCAGTGTGTTTCAATATAATACATTGCTGGCGCACCAAGATCAAAGAGAGGTGCCACTAACATGCTGCTCATCCACTGCCTTTTACACCTCATCCTCTCACCTAACAAATTAGATGGAAGTCCTTGAGAGATTCCCAAGGAGCAAACTGGAAGGGGGAATTTGGGCTGCAGGGAAATGCACAGCATCCCATGGGGAGAGTCTTCCCCAAGGCCAGCAAGGCTGGAGGCGGTGCATGGGGAACTCAGGGGACAGCCAAAGGCAGAGGGGACTGATCATGGAATCATAGAATGGTTTGGGTTGGAAGGGACCTCTAAATGTCATCTAGTCCAACCCCCCTGCCGTGGGCAGGGACATCTTCAACTAGATCAGGTTGCTCAGAGCCTCGTCCAACCTGACCTGGAATGATTCCAGGGATGGGGCATCCACCACCTCTCTGGGCAACCTAATGGGTTGATGGGCCAGCATGGATCAGGATGGGGGGTGCCAGGGGAGCGTGACAGCCAGCGGTGTCAACATGAAGACAGATTTTATTTAGTGTTACATTAATAACACAGAGAAAGAAAAACATGCCAAGGTAGCAAAAGTTTTTCTGACCTAGGGCTGGGAAAGAAGAGGACAAAGGCAACGTGCCTGGATGAGGTGTAACGGCGGCTCTTGTACTGGGACTTTTTGGATTAATGTGGAGGTAATGTTCTGCAGATTTATTTACCGAGAGGGCAGAGGAGCAAGGGTAGAACAGGCAGTAGAGAGGACATGGCATGAAAAAGTAGTTTTATCTTGTAACTGTGTTTTTCTTACAAATGATTAAGTTATCGTTATATAAATGATTACAAAAATTTAAAACCAGGGGAATAAACAGAGGCCAAATGGAAGCAGTTTGACTTCAACAGACCTTGACATTAAAGGAAGCCAGCTCATTCCTTTACCCTTAGCAGAACTGTAAAGAAACAACTACGCTCTGGTAAAAGAGGATTGCTTATGTGATGTAGCAAAGGTTGAAGGTTAAATGGCAGCATGCGAAGTTTAAGGTTGGGTCCTGCAATAATAATTCAGTGATAAATTCTTTGTCTCATTAAAAAAGAATTAATACTATACTTGAGCTTTGTATGAGTCACATACTCATACTGTAAAATAAAATCAACCTGGAATGTGGTTTTATAGTTTTCTTGTAGATTTACTTTTAGCTTTTGAGTTTCTAAAGCTGTTTTCTGCAGATCTTGGGTCATTAAGATAAGTCTCTGTTAGCCAACCTCTGCTTTTGCAGTTTTGCAATGATACAGTACAACAAAAACACCTCAAGTTAATCAAAACCATAGGCAGGTACTGCATAAGTGACAATTTTACCAGGACTACGTGATTCATATCTCATTGTTGGAGCAAACATAAGTGTATTTTACTTTGGAAATTAACTTCTTACAGGAAATATTGAAAAAACACTGACATTTAATGTACTAACTTCTGCCACAATGCTGGCTTCATCCATTACAATGAACAACACTACAAAACACTTTCATCATTATAAATAATACTGTGTATCAGCTGTGAATTTGTTTTCTTTTCATTCATTTTAATAGCCACCTACTAACTTCTTTTCCCAATAATTTCTTAGGGTTTCTCTCATATGCAGCTCCACTTCCATTCATCAACATTATTCATTAACAACACTGAAATTACATTTCAACCATTAGGCAAGAAAAATCAGCAAATCCACAAATTAAAAAATAAGTATTTGCATGGAGGAATGTGGAGAATGCTACCAACAGACAGTAAATTGTACCAATTGTCTTTTCTATTAAGCATGCAAAGACAAGAATTATGCATCTTTCAATTATATATGATATGCAAGACTAGCTTCAAATATCTATATGATACTTTCCTGTAGTAGGAAAGAAACTGAGCTTGCAGAATAATAACAAAAGCTGGAGTTCAATTTCACATTATCAGTCATTGTGTAGCCCATAGTATTACCGGTGTATTGCTTCTCCTTGACAATACACGAAGTTGAAACCCAAGTCATTTTCTGCTTTACTGATCCAACTGCAAGAGAACTGTGAAATTCTGCTACTCGTTATAGAAAATACTTACAATTTTTTTGTTTTCTATTAATATTGTTGAATTGTTAGTTTCGACATTCCTCAGAATCACTGTGCCATTCTGGTTTCTATAAATGAATTCATTTTCTGCAAGAAGGAAAAGAAAAGAATATTAAGGAAATCTGAAATTCTCTGTTTGTATAGAACCTAATTATGGACTTGAACTGAAAGTACTGCTGGGAACTTCCCTCTAAAGAACACAGCTTAGTTTTTTTTAACACAGCCATTGCTGTGATGTTAAAGTGGCTTCCAGGTTAGTCATTAAACAGCATGGTTAGTGTTTGTCACATGTTTATTCTGCCACGTTTATTCTGCCACACTTTCCTAGAGCTGAATGCAAGAGGGTGACCTGTTTTGAATGTACATACACAGCTTGCTATATTGTTAGTGTAGCAAAAAACAAGGTCGAAAAACATTCCTTAGGCGTAAAGGTTTCCAAGATCCTCAGTCTCCGTAGGAGTTTAATAAGCCAGATGCCTAGAAAGTCTCTGAAAGTTAAAGGCAAATCACCCTCTAACAAAGCAGATTCTTGAACCTAATATTGTGCAGATCTTCCAGCTCTGTCATTTGTCCTGCAAATTAATACCAGAAGGAGAGGCATGCGAAGAAGTTGCCATTTTCACATGGAACAAGACAAATCTGCCTATTCCTATTGCACTTTGGGATTACCCCAGCACTCAGGACATCTGGACAAGGTCAAGAATCCCCCGCGGTAGCTGCTGCACAGGCAAGAGATAGTCTCCAGCTCAGAGCTCAAAACCTACTTGACAGAAAGCCTGGGGTAGATGTGTGAAAGAGACTCCAAATGAGGGTTGGGTGGCAGGTCAAAGGTTCAGGATGAAAAAACATGACAACAATAAAGGGTTGCGATCTTGTCAGATGTCATAAACTGAAGTTCAAGTCTGATCAGTGCTTGCATGCACTGCCCCACAGATAAAACATAAATCATAAAAAGTCGTAAGTCCCAAGCACATTACCATTAAAAGCTGAAGGAGCTCTTCTTGACACAGGAGAAGGATTATTGGTTTTTTGCAACCCGTCTAAACTAAGATTGAGAACTGATGGATCCTCCCAAACTTCTGCCTCCAGTTTCAGCCAGGGAAGCAATTCCTCATTGCCTACCCTCACTGTGGCTAACCCAGGGTGGCTACCATGGTGCATCCCACAAGTGTTAGGGACACGTGAATGGTTAAACATTACCCGTGGGTTGTCCCGGGATGAGTCAAAGGTGAATTTAAATCCTATCAGATTCATAAAAGCACAGACCCAACTCATTGTAGCCACCAACAGATGCACACTGCCCAGTTTGGGGTAACCTGCTGAAGACAACACTGGATCCAGAGATCCAGTTCTTCCAAAATGTTGGTGTACAGACCTAGCATACTCCCTCCTTATCCATGTTTCAGTCTTTTTTAATTTCTAAACTGGTGGTGGCAATCCTCATCACAGTCATTAACCATCTTTGTAAAATGTTCTGAAAGTGCAGACGAAAAGCTTCTACACTCTACTTATTACCAGTAAAAACAGTCATCTCCTACATATCACAGTTTTACATGTAAGCATAGGAAGCAAAAATCTTTTCTGAGATTGGGATGAATCAGATTCTGAGAGGCCAAACTGTTGCTGCAATACAGATGATCCTCTCCAAACAACAAGGTTTTAGAGACTTAAGACTCTAAGGGTCCAAATCACAGCAGCAGCCCTTCAGACTCATAGGCAAAGTTCTCAGCACATCTTTCTTTTAATTATGGAATAAATTTTATCAACACCTTCGGTCCTGAATAAAAAATGCAGGATCTGAATTAGATTAAGACTTGCATTTGAGACCAGAATAATGAAAAGAGTTCCTGTTTGGATTTGACAGTATTAAAATTTTGTCATTAGTTCTGGAGCATTGTCCAAGGGCATGGCATTTTCATAAGCATGCCTGATTATATTCAGGACTTTAAAATATTGCTTCAGATGGTTTATGACTGAACAAACAAAGATTCTTCGACCTGGAAAAGAACCGATTGAACAGAACTGGGACAGAAGTCAAAAAAGTCATAAGCAGCATGGAGAAGATAAATAATGAATGCTCATTCCCTGCCTTTTCCAAAATAAATATTGGGAGGCACTAAATGACACCAGCCAGTGCCAGGTTCAACACAAATAAAAGGGATTATTTCTTCATGCAGAAGGTAAACAAGCTGTGAAGTCACAGTCCCAGAGTAGAGTGGGTGCCAGGATCGCATTTGGGTCCAAACAAGAATTAGAAAAATGGAAAAAAAAATCCATCACAGATTATGGGTCTTGAGGGGAGACGCTTTTCAGAAAGCCCTTGAACTTGAGATTGCGAGGGACTAGAAGCATATCCTGAATTACCACCCTGTGAAATTCACCGGCTTTTAAAAATCTTCCCTAAGCATTTGCTCTTGTCCCGGGCCAGACACCAGAAGAGATGATCTCTGGGGTCTGATCCAGCACTGACTTATTTACAACTTCAATCTCCAGCTTCTGTGTCCAGATACTGAAGAAATGCCTTTAGGTCAACAATTTAGGAGGTGATACAATAAAAGGTGTTAATGCTCCCTACACACCTTGCCCATTTATATCCTTAGGCCATTAAGGCTGAAGCATCATTTATTACATGAGGAAAGTACACAGTCCAAATTTTTATTTTCAGGTACTGCAGAAATAACAAGAATAAAGAAGCTGAGAGGCAGAATATGACCTAATTATCAGACATTTTGAAAAAGATTACTGCTTTAATAATCACCCTACGTCAACAACACAGAATGTTTTCCAATTACATACTAAGTTCCAGACAGAAAAATCGCAGTTTAAATACGGCCAGCAAAGCATTTGGATAATTGTAAGTCTCTCAGGATATTTCCTAATTACAGAAAAAAAGTGATGAAACTCAGCTCAAAGTTCAGTACACAGGTGAAGTAAAGTAGCTTATTAATCTAATGAGTCTGTGGGGCTGTTAATATTTGGTAGTTGTTTCTTGAGCAATGCATGAACTCATGGAAGTTACATTACTGCCCATAGTGACATTGCTACTAAACTTTTATTGCTCCCTATGCTCAAAAAAACATAACACTTTACTAAACTGTGAAACTTCAAGATGATTACATAAAAGTTGCTCCATAGTTGGAAGTAGGAGATGAAAGACTTTCCCATTATTCATTAGTGTAACAAGTTTAAAATCAGGTGCTAATCTACTGAATATACTTCTGGTATGAATAAGGAAGAATAAATGAAGCAGCGCTGATTTGTTAGGGCTGTAAATCTTGCTATTATATTCAAAGCAAGCCATCAACACAGATTCTGAATTAATGAACAGAAAATTGGTCTGCTTAAGAGAAGAACAAATTGTTCTGCATTATATTCCAAGCAAAACACTGTGAGGTTTAGCTGGTCTGTAAGTCGTATTATCTTAGTCCTCAAAAGAATCAATGAATAATATTCTTGGACTTCTGTTTTGAAACGTGTGATTTGTTCCAGTGCAAAAGCATTTATTTAAATGGGACATACCTCAATCAAAGATGAAAAGCAATGCAGCAACCTCTGTCTGTAATGAATTCTGTCCAGCAAGCTGCTGAGAATTTGCAGCCTGATTTATAGCTGTCACCACAACTGATAAAGGTCATCACTGCATCTCATTTTTTATACCTGCCTTTCTTTGGGGCTGGTGTTCAGTGTAAATGATACTGAAAATTGTAACTTTCAGGCATAAAGCCATTTATTCATTATATAATGGATTTCTTCAACAGCAGAGTTCACTTTGCCAACTCCTCCCCCTCTTTCAACTTCCAGGAAATTTTCTGGTTGGTAAAACAGATTATGTGTCTGTGAGTGTAGCCACAGATATGTAGTCACACTTACAAAAGTGACTGATTACAAGAAGCAATGATTACCAGAAATAATGGAGCAGCCTAGGTGTTGTACAGAGTCAGTGTAGAGGACTGGGGGAGCCTTGGCAGAAATTTTTAAAAACCTGCTAAGCAGAACGGGTGAGATCAGGAAACCCAAGACCAATGATATATTTGCAGTGTCAGAGTTTCCCAGCTTCTTTGTACACATCTTTCTTAAATTCAGTCAGGAAATACACACACAGAGAAAACAGATCTAGTGACAGGGAGCTCGTGTCCCTTGCAGTCGCTGAGCTCTTGCCAGGAACAGCACACATGTGGGTTTGCTTAGCTTGGCAGCTCTGCCCGCTGGCCTCTTGTTTAGGGTGAAACAAGACAAAATATTGGAGTTTCTCTTAAGCAAGTAATGCATTACACACTATGGCCCCAATGCAGGTTTTGCATTTTCAGGCATGGTACCTGGCCAACCCTTCCCATTTTTTACCGTTTTACCATTGGAAAAGGCACAGAGTCTCTGGAAACCTGCCCATGGGTGCTGCCATGATGCTGAACCTGGAACTGGCGGTTGAAACTCAGGAGAAAGATCACTGGTATCATTTGAGGACCCCAAATCATCAGCTCAATATGCAGAGGCAGCCTAAACAGCCAACAAAACTCTGGACACCATCAAGAGAGCAAGACAGCATGGATCATTTGCCATGATATAAAACAAGGGAGTACAAAATTCATGGACAACTGATAATCTGACAGATACTAAAAGAAATAGGCACGATATCCCATCTATCATCCCTAATGCAGGGCTGTCTCATTATGGACCACTAAAAGGAGCCAGGCTCAAGTCCAACATAGCATCAGCTATTGCCGTGGTCAGAGACCCAACACCAGGCTAGAGGAGCACTTCCCTGAGCCAACACCGCTTCTTTTTACATTGCTATGTGTCAGACTGGGCACCAGGCTAAACAGATCATCACAGCGGACAAGAAGGTCTGGGACAATTTTACTTCTAGAAGGAGTAAGTTTGAGTGCTGGCAGTGCAAAGAAGTTTAAGGAATTACATCCAGCTACAGGAACACGGATTTGCATTAGCGTCAGTGCACACAAATTTATGGCTGTACAGCTTCTCTGATGAGACTAAGTAAGTACACAACATCAGAGAGGAGAGACTGGTTTATAAGATAATAGCAGGACCCGCATGCTTTTGAGGAGAATTTTCATTATTTGTCAGAGATT